TAAGGGCTGGAAGGAGCCACTGCCGCTAGGAAGATGAGTCCAGCTCCCATGCTGCCTCGGTCTCACTGCATGCCTGGGGGTGGCGGGACTGTTCACATGCACCACGGCCTGGGCTACCCCCTACATATGGGCCATGCAGGGCCAAGAGACTTGCTGCAGGCTGTCTAAAATGCCTTGGAAGGCCACATTTGGCCCACGGGCCATATTTTGCCCACCCCTGCTATAGAGCAAATTGTGCATCTGATCTAGAAGCTCAGACAATGGGGTAATGACTGGTAAACATATGATTTAATCCTTAAATACATGCTCTACAGATTTCAGGAACAAGATCTTCACTTAAGACAGACAACAACTTTGAGCCCTACTGAAAACGCATCTAACTCAAGAAGGATGGTCGATCTTAATGCAACCCATAATTCATTTTAAGAGTCTGAGATCTGAAGATCAGACTGATTCCTATTTGCTCCCAAAGGATCTCACAGTTATCAAAATGCTCTGTCCTATAGATATAGAAAGATAGTAGTCCAGCAAAGGTACAACATGTAGAATTTAGTCTCTGAATAATAACTGGTTTTAATGCAAATCCCACACTATTTCTGGTAAAAGTTTAGGGTCTAGTTGGAATGTTACAGTAGCTTTTAGAAGAGCAATATTTGGTAAACCTGACTTAGCAAAAGGCAAGAATTCTTTTGGGTGATATCTGTAGTGGACCAACTGTATGGTTGGTCCAGATCAGTGGTTCTCAACCTGTTTAGACTCAAGGCATCCCTCCAACACTTTTTAAAATTTAGTGGCACCCCATATTATTACAGTGTGTAAAAAATAATCTGACTGGAAATGCATTATTTAAACAAACTGGAAAAAGCATACACGGATAAGTGTAATATAAATTAAACCCATGCTAAAGCCTGGCAATTGAGAATCACTGACTTAGAAAGATATTATTATAGCTTCTGTCACCACAGGGTCTGGACACCCCAAATCATTAATGTATTTATCCTTGGAGCAATTCTGAGGCAAAGATGAAGGGTAAAGGTGTCTAATGAAACTTAAGGAATTAAGTGTGAAGTCTAGAAAGAGGAATTTTTTAAAATACAGAATAATATTCCTTCTTGGAGAGAGGGCTTTGTGATACTATTCATAATAAAGCCACAAGTCTCCCCAGCTTCATTTTCAGTATAAAAAGGGAAGGGAGAGAGATGGTGGATAGGAAAATAAAAGCGAAAGGGCAGCCCTACAAAATGGGGGAAGATGAGGCTCTTCCTTCAGGAAGGAGATGCCTTTGAAGGGCAGCAGGGTCCTTGCAGTGGGAAGGATCTGGCTGGCTGGGGCAGTGTGGTGCAAACTCTCTACCAGTTTGCCCCAGGCCTGGTCACAGATTCTGTCCTGGAAGAGCCTCCTGGAATGGGGCCTCCCACCAGGGGTGGGAACGAAAGGCTGACTCCACCTTCCCCCTTCCTCAGCTTCTGCTTCACTCTTACTTTCAGCATAGGTTGTTCCCTGTTACCAGAAAGGAGAGCCAGATATGTTCCCCTCAATCCTAAAGAAACCTGGATCCTGTCTTCAGCCAAGTCTAGCCCCACTCAGCATCTCCTGAAAACAGAGAGGTATAAGGGGGAAGTTTGACCTGGGAATGGGGATAGCGCAGCACTCCTGAAAGGATCTCATGGCACCCCAGGGTCCTGTAGCACCTGAGTTGAGAATCACTGGTACAGACATAGGCAAGCTTTGGGGTATCACAGTACCCTTCCTGAGGCCTGAAGAAGGCTACCATGATACTCAAAAGTTTATGTCTACAACAACAATAAAAGCAGCACCCAGACTAATCCTCTCTTCTCTGATTACAGCTTGAATTTCAGCCACTCTGAAGGCTGTGTAGAAAAGCAAAAAAAAAGTACTGTCCTAACAAAGTTCAAATAAAGAGCATGCTTTCATTAATTCAACTGGAGTGTCCATCAACTACATTCAAGTTCCAAATTAGAAACAGAAATGGTTCCTTAATCTGTGGAAATACATAAACCAAATATTTATAAAATCTAGAAAACAGAGGTAGAGAAGAATCTGAACAACTTTTTATGGGCAGATTATGTGCCAGCAAATCATACTCACAGAACAAACTAAGAGATTGATGTGTTCTAAGAGCATACTAGTAAAATGCTCCAAAAAAATTGATATGGATAAATCTTCACACTAAACACAGTTCTTAATGCACTACTAAGAAAAGCATTTTTACTTGTGCCATGTATTTTGCAGATAGACATGTCTTCTGAGAAATCAAAATCTTGTGTACAGCCTATAAGCAGAACCTTTCTATACAATTCATCCAGACAGCCTCCCTGCTAATAATAAAATTCTGGATTCAGAGGAAGTCCCAAATGTCCATAAAACTATGCTCCAGGTGCTCAGTGCCCCACAAGACAGTATTTCTTTACTTGTGTAGTACTAGATTCCTTAGATTCAGAAGTGGCAGACGAGAAAAAGGAACTGGCTGGTTTATGTAGTTCATCCTCACAGAGATAAAGAACCTACCAAGACAAATCTTCTGCCTCTTCACAGCTTTGTGCTTCTGACACTGCAGTCAGATCGGTGATCGTTATGAAAAGAGTTTGTTGGTTGCAGACCACTGAGGGTCATCATCTTGTCAACCGTAAAACTAATACGGCACTGATCTTTCTTAAGAAGTGCAAGGTGGCATAATGTGGTTCCTACATCTATGCACATCACCTGAGAAAAAGCCAGATCCTGCTTCTCCTCTTGCCAGAGGCCTCTATCTGTGTCTTAGCCAAGCATGGGGCTTCCAGGTCTATGAGAGAAATCTCCCAATTCTTAAAGTTCTTCTCCTTTAACTATATAATCACACCTGGCATTGGACCCTAGTGTTGGAGCCCAAGCAACAGCATAGCTTGTTTCCATGGTGGTAGCCAAGTGCCTGAGTGACAGCTATGGTGCTGGAGCACCCATAGCACCATGGGAAGAAGCCTGGCACCAAAGCTTGTTTCCACACTAGCAGCCAAGCACCCAGGATGCCAGGTCTCTCCCCGCTGGGTCCTGGACCAGCCAGAGCAGTTGCCCGGTGTACTGGTTCCACCATGGTGATGGGGGATCCTTGGGCCCAAATCAGTCCCACCATACATCTGGTTAATAGACCAGTCCCAAATCATTTATTCAGCCCTTAGGGCTGAGTGAGTTTAACACCCCTGGCTCAAAACATTTGCTAATAGCATGAAGTCACTCACAACTAGAGATTTTTGATCTTCCAAAGTGGCTTCTCTTCTTATTAGAGCACTTGATAAAACCAACTTTTGATAAAATCAGGAGGAACAGTTTCACATTAACACTGCAACCCTCTCTGCATTTTTTAAAAAAAGAATTACAACCAGAAAATGTAGAGGGAATATGGAATATTTCCCTGAACATAAAAAGCACTTAAAAAAGAAGCATATGTGGTGCTGCAGGCAGGGTAAATCATAAAAGCCTGAAGATTTAAACTCTGCCAGAGACTCAGATCTCAGTATTGTCACAAAAACACAGGCTCTTTTTCTTCTCTTTCCATCAGGCTTTAAAAATATATATATTAAAATCTAAGAAAACTCATGCTAAACCAGAAAGAATGCTAAACCAATTAACTACACTACAAAAGAAATCATAGAAGGTACAACACTAACACAGGTAATGGAAAGGAACTAAGTGGCATTTAGGACTTCTGTGCCCTTTGTCTTTTCAGAAAGGAACATCAGAGCATACAAGGATACACATGTGGCCTCAATAGACACTGCTGACTAAAAAATTCTGAGCTTCACTGAATACGCCTCAGGTACACTCCTACATGGAGAAATGCTTGAAGAACAACAAAAGGACCAACATTGGTGGAAGCCATGTCAGAGATCCCCAAAATAACTTCCAGTTAAAAATACAATGTTTAAATCCATCATGTTCCAAGTTACAACATACAACTTCACATGCAGTACATCTACTGTATATCACAGGTAAAATGTTGGGTATTTTAAAGGAGAATAAATTAAAACTTAAGCCTATGTAACTTTAGGCCTTGTGTTGTACTGAGATGCAGTTGGTTTTTCTGAAACGTGAATATATCAATATTTAAAAACCTAAATGAGAAAATGAATGTTTACCATTTCCCCAGTAATTCGCCCCAGGAATACAAAATCTTCTCAGGGCAATCCTTAGACACATCCCCAGTGCCACTTGAGAGTTCGTTATCGCTCTCTGCAAAAAAAAATAAACAAAAGAAAAGAAAAATAGACACATGCACAGATATACCAGAGATAACAGATTTTTTAAAGTGCCAGACAATTTCTTCTAACAAAAAAATGACTGTGAAACTACAAAAGAATATGTAAAATACAGATGGATTTGGAAAGCTTAGGGATTTGACCAAAGGAGTGGTGCATAAGATTTAGCATGACAAAGTTTAAAATACCACTTAGGAGAATGTGCAGCATGGATGTAAATAGGGAGCTAATATTTAGAAAATCAGATATGGGCTATCAGCTATATATTAAAAATGAGTTCCCAGTGTTACACAACTGTGAAAAAGTCAGTTCAATTCCAGGTTGTGTAAGACAGCATGCTCCCCTCAAAATAAAGAAGATTAAATTACTCTTTTACATTGCATGGGATATCATGCACAGTTCTCGTCTGAAGAACTCTGCCCACACTTCACGATAAAATCATCTCATTGAAGAGAGTTCACAGAAGAGTCTCAAATGATAGCATGAGTTCAAAGTACAAATTATATGGGGAGAGAAAAATGCTTCAAAGTGGCAACCATCTCAGGAACTATACAAGTAAATGGCTTTAATGGAGAACTATATAAAGAAAGAAAATGGGTGGTATGCATCTGGTAAACTAAACTTTCGTTGAAGTGAAGACATGCATTATGGTAATATTTTAAAACATGTTCAAGTGAGTTAAACATCACAATTCCATTCTTAAAAGTAACTTAGGAGTCCATAGAACTGAAAAGCAAGGAAAAGACCAGTATAGCTATTTTAGGATAGTTTCCATGTAGGTATGGTACTCTTAAGTGATTTTATTTCAGTACAGTTAGCCCCATTTTTAAAATCAGGTGATTATGCTGGAATAAAATCAATTTTATTCCAAAACAGCCACACAAGGAGCTATTCTTGTTCCCCTGCATAGAGAAGCCATAAGTGATATTGATTTCAGATACCAAAATGACCATTAAATATGAGATTTTCTCCACCCCTTCTTGAACATGAGCTATTTCACAGAGGGAAGTTTGGTGAAGCAGAGACCTCTGAGGGAAAAAAAGCCTACAATAAGACTAGATCAGGACTATTCAACCGGTATTCTGTTGACCACAGGGGGTTAACATGTGATCTCCTGAGTCCCATCTGGCTACCACTGCCCAATTGCTCCAGCTGGTATGAACTGCAAAGGGGTCCAGGCTCCCCCTCTCCCCTTTGACTTCTGCTGTTTGACTCAACCCCAGGGGGTGAGGTGAGGTAGGGTGGAGTAGGGCAGTGTGGTGTAGCCCATAGTACTGGGAAGCCAGTGACCTGGAATGCTTACGCGGCATGACACAGCAGGGAAGCCAACAGCCAGGCAGCCAAAAGGTTAGCCGGGGCACTACATGCAGTGAAGTGGGGAGTGCCCACCAGTAGTGGTGGGAGAGATGAGGGCTGTTGCGGGGCCAGTGTGTGTTGGTGCTGTGCGGTGGTGGAGGAGTGCATGGTGGAGGTGCTGGGTGCAGCTCTGTGGCAGTGGGGCATAGCAGTGGTGCCAAGCAGCACTGGGCGCTGCAGGATAGCAGTGCTGTGGTGCTGCTGCTGTCACTGGTTGCCACAAAATTAGTTTGGGGGGGGCTGAGCCCCATTAGCTCTGGCCTTTCACCGCCTATGGTGCCCACCCAGCTGTGCAGTGCAAGGACAGCACCTGTGCCCACAGTGCAATGCAGTGTGGGGAAGGGAGGGAGCACTCATGCGTGTGCAGCATGTAGCCTAGAAGATCTATGGCCTCTATTTCACATGGTACCAGCTGATGTGGGCCATGGGGCATGTGACCCTCAGCCACTTGGCAGATAGACAATCTTGGACTAGATTCTTCTTATAGCAGGCTGCCTGGGAAAGCCAAAAAAATGAATGAACTATGTTGCAAAACAGTGAGTCAAGATCCTTCTCAACTACAAGATACAGGTTACGTGTGCTTCATGTACTGGGAAACCATGCAACTATGCCCTTTATGTGCACTTGAAAGTTGGTCAGGCCCAATCCTCCACACAACCAAGACCATGTGAGAATATCATGAGTGAATTTCAAGGCCATGAGTTAGATAAAAAGAGTTCAAGTTTTGCAAGAACTGAACTAAGAGCTTTTGAGGAAGAAGTCTACTTTAAAACATTTATAGTTTAAATAGACAAGACAGAGGTCTATCCTCAATTTTACACATGTAGAACTAATGCCCAAGATCATACAACATTTGTATGAGAGCTAGAAAATGAACTGAAATCTCCACAGTGCTACTCTAGGTCTTTAACCATTTGACCATCCTCTCTGGGCTCTTTGACACAGTTCTCAACTGACTACAGAGTAACATTTGTGGATTTATGGGTACGATGTGGCCAAATTTTATTGCTTTTTCCATCTTAAGATACCAAACCTTGATTGTTATCATGAAGAAAGACACTATATTCTTTCAAAAGATATATGCCCCCAAACAACACACTCCTTGTTTTCAGGGTGCAGAAAGTAAGGAAAAAGAGTATTTCCAGAGTCATGGCCAACTGTGTGACAAAGTAAGTCCTACTGGAAACAGAGTGTCCAGGAAGTATGGCATCCCAGGATACAGTCTGGGTGAACCAGCAGGTAGCAGGAAATTCCCAGTATGGCAAATTGTCTTCTGAAATGCCACACATTTCCTGGATACCCCATGTTTCCAGATGGATTTACTCAAATGTCACACAAGGTTAGGCTCCAGGACACTGACAACTCATTTCTTTGCTGTAAGTAGTTCTTGTAAATTAAGTGTTGTTTACACCACACAAGCCTCATCAGGATACTACCAGCAGCTCACTTGCTGCTTTAGGCACAAGCTATAGTGCTCAGCCAATAGCTATAGCTATGAGAGGGTTAACACACAACTACACCATCTTGGCAGCAGCATGGCATGCACAGTGGGCTCCTATAGACACACCCAATGCCTGCTCCAATATGCTAATTAGCATACGTCAGAGTAGACTTGATCAATTGAGTCTGATAGAGCATGTTAATTAGCACACCCCAGCAGCCCCCAAGTCACTTGCATTCAGCATTCCTGTGCTTCAAAATGGCATCGGGAGTGCTTAAACTAAAGCTTGTTGAATGACCTTTAGTTGTAATCCCCCCGAGATACTGCAGGCACTTTAATTAGAGTGGATCACGAGAGCCACTCTTATTAAAGTGCTTCCCCCTTTCCCCACCCATAAAGATGCCCAGTGTTTTCAGGCTTGTTGCTTTTCCCGCCATGAAAGCAGCTTCCCTGCTATATTCCCTTCTCCCCCTCCCCACCATATGAGGGGGCTGGTTTTGGGGAGCAAGGTGCATGCTGCATGCAAGAAAATACGCTAATAAATTACACAACACCAGATATCAACAGGCACAAAGGAACGCATGCCACCATTTGCACAATTATTTCCTGCTTCCAACCTCTAAAAATATTGCACTTTTCTGCAGTTTTTCCTACTATTTCAAATAATAAAACATGCTTAAAAAAATAGCCAAATATTAAAAACCAGTAGTTCAGAAGATACTGGGTTTGAGATCACAGGACCAATCTGTAGTTCTTCTGTACCAGTCTGACAGGAAAGAAAGCTATACATATGGAGGGCAATGAAATGAAGCTGAATTTAAAGCAACCTGAAATATCCTTTAAACTTTCCCATGGAAGAAACTATCCCTAAGAAACCAAGAAACACAAACATGAAAAATTAAAAATACATCTGCTTCAACTCAGCTCAGCCAGATTTTGGATCTGGTCTAACATTTTAATGACCTGAGAATTTTAAACATTTGACATTAGAACCAAGATGATTTATTGCAGACATCACCAGTTTATGGAAAGGAGGATCAGTCCAACACACCTGCATGATTTCTGTCCTAACCAAATCTTCATCACTGTCACTCTGATTCCCATTACAGGTTTCTAATTAATTACAGTATCTTAACAGCTGCCAAATCCAACTCATTAATAAAAACCGTATCAGTCTTAAATTTGACAACCAAACATGAGGATGAAGATGGTACATGTACTGCACCTCAAGGACAATCAAAGCAACATTAACCGAAACCTTAATTTGGAAGACTTGAGCTCTGCAGTCCCTTCTCGTACCAAACTAAACATGGTTCATGCAATTTGTTGGGTCAGAAACAGTTTGTGTAGTTTTAGTCCTTAAAACAAGTCTCCTTGTATCATCATTTCATAACTTTAAGAGCACAATTTTGACTTTAATAGGGTCAGACACTTTTGCATAAAATAACTGGAACCAGAAATAGAAACAACACTAGGCTTAAGAAAACAAGTCAGCCCTAAAAATGCTAATGATATGGCTTGTCCTAAATTATGGATTAATAATAAATCCCATGGAATTATACTGCCTTTTAAGGACAACCTGATTAGTAATTAAATTTAGATTTTTAAAAAATATTTAAAAGCTTTAATTTTCTTTAAAAATTTCCTTCCAATATTCCCAGCTGGACCAAATAATTCTGTTACAACACTGTCCTATCTCTGTCTGAGAAAGAATAAATGGTTTCTTCTGAGCAGACCCACTCTTGACCACATGGGAGTACTTCAGCTATTCAGGGATAAACAAGAAGTAATTTCATAAAAGACAGATTATGAATCTGAAAAATGTAACTAGTCCAAACTTGAAGCCCATCACAAACAGAAACTTCAAAAAGTATGCAGAGCACAGCCAATTAAAATCAGCAAACTTTTTTGGAGAGAGATTTTTAAATTATGTGAGAGTCTGATTAAGACAGGATAAAAAAGTTTTATGTGTAAAAAAATTCTAATGGACCACTAACAACAAATCACAAATTAATATTTTGGTCTGAGCCAAACAATGATTATGCTCCACAAGACAAACTTCAGTCAGAACAGAAAAGAAATTCTAAAACTGCAGATATATTACAAACTTTTAGAAACCAAACAACTGGTCATCTCACCTGGCCAATTTTCAATTGTTTGTTGTAGGGTTAGAAACA